CCGGCTGTCGTCCTACAACAGGCATAAGTGGGAACACGGCCAGTAGCAAACAGAAGAAAATCCAACTCAGCGAGATACTCTAAAATAAAGAAAAAAGTTATCTTTAGACACTATGGTACAAACAACTGTCTTTATTGTTTCACAGACTACATGGCTATGAAACTAAAAGGAAAACTCAAAGCCTTATATCTGTTTACTCTGAAAGCAATACTGCTACTAACTGTGAAGGATCTGTTAAGTTTGAGGCACTCTATTTAGCATGATTTAGGTATTATCTTTTTTAATTCTCACAATAACTTCAAGAGGTAGGCTATATTATTCACAGTATTTCAGCTTAGGACACTGAGCTCAGAGATGCCAAAGTGTGTAGCACCAGATCTACGACTAGTAAATGAAAGAGCCAGGATTTAAACCTGGATTTAAACTCCTTCAAAGCAAGCACTTCACTCAACCCTTTGTGCATGCTCAGTCATGTCCGACTCTTTGGGACCCCATGCTACAGCCCGCCAGACCCCTCTGTCCACGGGATTATCCCAACAAAGAACACTGGAGCGGGCTGCCCTTTCCTCCTCCAGGGGATCCTCCCGACGCAGGGACCAAACTCACATCCCCTGTGGCCTCTGCACTGGCAGGCAGATTCGTTACCACTGAGCCACCCGGGGAGCCTCACTCCATTTATATTCTATCATACACTGATGACATCTTCAAGAAAGCCGGCCTACCATTATAAACAATGATTGCAGCCAGGAGGGATAAAGGCAAAAACATTTTTGTAGTTAGATTAAGACAAAAAAATTGTCAATAATTCCACTAACTGGAATGTTTTGTAGGTTCTCATAGAATACAAAGAAGAAATGTCTGTCTTTGTGCTACCTCCACCAAAAAGCATCAAAGTGGAAACATGAGACTATTTTTTGTAGCACATTGTAATTACCTATATAGTTAAAGGCAGAAAATCAGGAGTAATTACAATAATGATTCAGTAAAAAAAAAAGAAGTTGTAAAATATGAAGAATAGGATAATTCCTTTCTTCCTCTTTAAGAATGTATGTACAGGAAAAAGTCTGGAAGGGTTAGCAACATGGAATGTCCGGGTGACGGGACTGTGGGTAGTCTTTTTCCTAAATCTTTGCTTATTTGCATTCTAATCTGTTTTCAGAGATACATGTAATGCGTAAAAAATAAGCTCTGCAAAGATACACAAAACAAACAACAACAAAAAAGAAAACCAGGAGTAATTCTCTTTTAAAATCATCTATCACGAACAAACACTTCTCCAGAGAAAGCATGATGGGGCCCTGGGCCAGGGGAGGTGACCCCTCGGACATGAGCCCAGAACTCGGCCCCTCCTGCCGGCGCTCTGCTCTGGGCGGCTCCTTGGTGGCATTCAGACATCTGAGGCTAAAGGAACCCAGGAAGCCTTCCATGGGAGGATGTATCAGCTGTACTTCTCGCGTGTTTCAGTTGCCAGAAGATGAGTTCACTTTGATATGAAAAGCTACACGAATCACTGACACCTTTAAGTCAATCTCAGTCCTCCTGTCAAAAGGATCAGGATCTTTATCTAGGACACATTCTACGCCTCTCTTAAAAAATGAACAATTCCCAGAGTTAAAACACACACCCCAAAGCGTCACTACGAATCTGCTCAGCGTTGAAGTGAGTAGCACTTATACCTTTGCTCGAGTCCACAGTGGAGTGATAAATGGCCAAGCGGCAAATGCAACGAGCCCAGCTGTGAGCATACAGCGGTGGAAAAAACTGAGCACCTGAGAACGTAATTCAAAGAAGACAGGGAAAAGGAGGTCATTGCGAACGAGATACACGTGTATGAAAGAGACCTGAAAACGTTCAAGTGGTCAGTTACTTACTAACACTTCAACTCCCAGGATAAAGAGCAAGAGGTAGCCAAGGAAGCGTCGTGGAGGGAAGGTCGACAGTAAGGTGACAAAGCCTTGGATAACCGGCATTCTGTGTAACAGAGTTATTTATAAAGATTATTTATAACCTATGTTGAGTACAAAAATTAGTTCTCATACAGCAAAACATTAAAATTTTGTGCACAGAAATCAGGAAATTTTCGATTCATAGATTCTAAGATAATTTCTAACAGATTTGTTTCAATGCCTTAACTTACCTAAATCTTTTTTGAAACCTGTAAGTATATTAGGAAAAATGTAACTTCTGAATTAAGTTGATAATGATCACAATAATTTGCCTGGTTTTTTATAAACATTAATGACAATAAATGAGTCTTACTTGATCTGAGTTTAAACATTTGTTGTTTAGTCGCTAAGTTGTGTCCAACTTTCTGTGATCCCATGGACTGTAGCCTGCCAGGCTCCCCTGTCCATGTGATTTCGCAGGCAAGAATACTGGAGTGGGTTGCCATTTCCTTCTCTAGAGTTTAAACATGGGCACTTGCAATTACAGATACAACATCAGAAATAAAATAAATGAACCCAAATGAATAAAAACTGAGAACATTTTTAAAATTCACTAAAATTAATTTTATACTGAAATCTCAACTGTCTTCAACTTAATCGAGGTAGAGAAAATCTTAATTGCACTTTTTTATTGGGCAAAAAAACCTTTTCCAAACTCAATTTAAGATGTCACTAATCGTACACTAATTATAATTAAATGTGAGTTCACAACCATTTAAATGTATTACATACTTAAGTACGTTTCATATTTTATCACTAGAAAAATTTTTTTAGCATTTGTAGTGCGTTTGTAGGCAATTATAAAATGTCAGTATGATTTGGTTTATAACTTTTTTCTAATTAAAAACAATGGTTACATATTATCATCAAAACAATTAAAGTACCATGTAGGGAAGAAAAGCTAACACCAGTCAAAAGGAGAATGTTTCTTTTGTTCTCAGCAGTGATGATTCAATAAAATCACTTAGTTTTTTTCTAGAAGAAATGTGAAATTTTATGTTTTATTTTCTTAAATCTATCAAAAAGATAAATACAGAACACAACATATTTTCAAAATCACACTGTCCCTTAAAATTTAAATATACATGTGCTCTTCACAAATAGAACATTTAATAATTTAGGAGGGAATTTTAGATAAAACTTCTCATTCTAAAAAGTTTTAAACCAGAAAAAATTGCATTAGAAAAAGTTCTGATTTAAATACATGTGTCCAGCAACTGTATTCCTTTCAAATGGAAAAGTAACAGTTTGTTCTTTTGCCAGTGTCTTTTTACCTTGTATTTGAAAAAGTTAATATTTAAAATATTTTACTATTAATTTCAATTTTTGATATTAAGAAGAGGTGATCAAAGCTGGAGTTAACAGAAATCAGAATAGAAACATACATTGTATCATTTCAAACATGCTGACCAACCCTGACAATACCCAATCCTGCACTGTCATTCCCTGGCCTATTTTTGGGGTCTGATTTGCTCAAAGGAGGCGCAAGATTAAGTTTATATTCTAGACTACTGATGCAGATATAGAAATCAACACAATCTACACCAGAATCCTCACTGCCTGAGATTTTGTAGCATGAACCAACCCAGCGTTTCAGTAGTTTTGTTTTAAAGCGTCTGAAACGTGCATGAGAGCTTGGCCTCGATGTTTTCTATGATGATAAAAATCCATTTCAAGTTCAACCTGTAAGGAAGTACTTAGAGATGGAACCACAGCATACGTGAATAATTTCCCCTAATCCTTGCAAGTACGCATTACTAGACTGAATTTAAGTACAAACTTTCATTCATCTCGGTTTACATGATAGCTGGGAAAGGAGGGGCAAAAACATAAGGAACAAAAGCATGCAAACTGCCTTGTGAAAGATAAAGATACACTGGAAACTGGGATGATGAGATTTCAAAATGTAAGCCACTCCTGACATAGTACAATCCATGTTAATTATTTCATTTTTACTCCAGAATTTTCTCATAAAAGATACATGAAAGGAACTGAGGCCAAAGCTGTCTCGGGGCAATAAAGATTAAGTCAAAAGGGAAAAGCAAAATAAAAAGCATGTTTAGGGAATTCCCTGGTGGCCCAGTGGTTAGGACTCCCTGCTTTCACTGCTGAGGGCCAGGGTTCGATCCCTGGTTGGGAAATGAAGACCCTGAAAGCTGTGAGGGGCAGCTGGAAAAAAAAAGAGGATATTTCTATGCACCATTTATGGTGTTATACATGAAATCAGAGGGCTGGGAGATTTGACAGTACTGTAAGTATCTTTCATGACTTACACTACAGAAATCTACTGATGCTACTCACTGCCTTTTAAGCACAGATTGAACTGTCAGTGGAGCGGGAAACAAGGCCACGAGACTATTACTCACTCTCTCAGGACCGCATGCCATATTGGCAATGGCAGCAGACAGTAGAGGTAGTAAGTCCAGGGACAGGCTTGAACCAGCAGGAAAAGCGCTACAAAAACGCCAACAGCTACAAAAGTACACGGTAGGAGCCGGCTTGGGTTCTGAAAGTCAAACAAAACACAGAAAACACTTCAAACTCATGTTCACCGATAGATTCTTAAAAGACATTTTATGAAGTAAAAGAAACATATTACTTTCTTTCAGTGATTCCACAACGAGGTGACTGATCTAAGAACTGCGTTTTACAAGAAACCTGTCACCGGACAAAGGCAGGTAGCCTGCGGCTGCAGCAGTGAGGCAATTCTCCATTTAAGAGGACTGAGTCCCTACAGCGTGCAAATAGCTTGTCTGGAACTCGGAGCATATTTCTCCTTAGTAACAATTTTGTGGACGTTGACTGAGCTCACTGCCTAGCGCACAGGAGCCCACTGGATCTGCGGTAAACGGTGGGCCTTCGTCTCCATCGGGAACCACGCTTCAGCTCGCCAGGCCGGGCGCGTGGCTCTCCCCACCGCTTAACCTACAGCAGGACCGTTCGGCTCGTCTCCGCTCCCGCCCACGCCGAGCGGGAAGGGAGCCGCTCAGTGGCGGCCGCGCGGACCGGGCGGGCCCGCGCCTGCTCTGGGCTGGAGTAGTGGGGCCCGCTCGGGGACAGAAAGGCCAGCGATGAGGTCAGGAGCCGACGCAGAGCTGTGATGCTGAGCCGGCGGGAGGAAGGAGCAGCACTGCAGGGTCAGGCGGCGCTCTCCCGCCTCTGCGCCCTGTCCTCCCTGCCTGTTTCCCCTTGCCTTGCTGCCCGAGCTGAATGAGGGGAGAATGAAGAATTACCTTCTGGAGCAGGTGAGGTTAGGGAGGAAAACCAAGTGTTTTTTCCCCCCTTTATAATTCCTCCCTTCTGCTCTAAAATGCCACCAGAAAGGGAGCAAGGAAGCAAGGATAAGACAGGGCAGGGCTGTAAAAAGGAAGAAGGAAAATGAAACACAGCGCTGTGATTAAGAGTTTGGAGCTACATAGATCAGAATTCAAATCCTGCTTCTGTCAATGGCTCACTGTATGACCATGAGCTGGAAAAAAAAACAAAACACTTTAAGATTCTGGGACTTAATTTCATCCCATCTATAAAGTAGGGATGATAATATCCATATCTATTTATCAAGGCTAGTCATGCTTAAATGAAATTATGAAGAGCTTAACAAAATGCCCAGAATATTACTACTGCTTCAGAAATAAGGGCTCCTATCGTCGCCTCCACTTTTCTTCTCTCCACCTCTCCTCTGCATGCGTCCCAGCAGTCAGTGGAGAAACCTGCCTGGCCAGTGGCTGGCCCTGGAAATGGAGACGCAGGCCGGACAGGACGAGGACCCCGAGCAAGCGGGCAGGTGGGGAAGGGGCAGGACTGAGAGACCGACAGGGAGGGTCTCTAATGCGGAAGGTGCCTGAGGCAGGCAGGCACTGTAGGGACAGACTGGTTTCACATCACTCTGGGAATAGTAAAATAATAAGAAAATAAATTTAAACAAGTACGTAAAAAGATCCTCGAGGGATCTTCTAGGGTCAGCACAATATCGTATAATTATCCAAACCTTTGACACATAAAGCAACAGACATTACAAATAAACACCTACTTGTAGGAAACCAAATCAAAAAGAAGCCAGTTCAGCTAAAGTAAAAACGGAAAGAACTTTAAATAACAGGAATGGGAGACATTTTCTCCCTCATCACAATTAACTCCCTGCCTTCCCAGATCCTCCAAAAAACACCTGACGATAATGAACCATGCTGTGTGCATTGAGGCTACCCTCCATCCAACAGTTCCTAAGTCACACCGTCTATGCCATGCTCTGTACGAGGTGCTGACCAAGAAGGAATCTAAGCCACACAGACAGAGATGGAATCACGGGGCTTGGTTTAAGGGGTTAACCTTTTGAGACTTCCCCAAGTAACGAGAGAACAGGAAAGCATGCAGATAAATAAGGATATTTACTTCTAAAGCAAAAGACGTCTGAACTAGCAAGCAGAGAAGAACGGATGGAAGTTAAATGCAGACTTCAACTGGGAGGAGCTGTGGCAAATTGCCTTTAAAGAGAATGTTCGCTGCAGACCGGTCTGTAACGGTGATAAGTTAGGAACAACCTGTATAATCTGAGGAAGACTGTCAGGCAGAAGTGACATAAACACGGGTGGCTGTTGTTCAGTTGCTAAGCTGTGTTCAGCTCTGTGCGACCCCATGGACTGCAGCACGTCAGGCTTCCCTGTCCTTCACCATCTCCCGGAGTGTGCTCAAACTCGTGTCAAGCTCCCAGAGTTTGCTCAAACTGAGTCGGTGATGCCATCCGGCCATCTCATCCTCTGTCACCCCCTTCTCCTCTGGCTCTCAGTTTTTTCCCAGCATCATTGGAGTCAGACCAAAATTTAATTTCAGCGCTTCTGTTCTATTTGCTGTCAGTCTGGCTAAACCATTTGACTCACTCTCTCTCTCTCACTGGCTAAACCACTTAGCTTGTCTCACGTCTGCTCCCACGTCTGGAGAGGAGGGCAGTGTTTGCTTCGAGCTCCCCTCTCCCTCCCTCCCAGCCGTCAACCGGCCGCCTTCTCGGTGACCTGCTTCCAGGGAACAGGGGTACCATGCACTGCTGAAGCTCCATGCACCCCAACCGCAGGCCCCACTTTCTGCAGCTGCAGGCCCCTCACCCCCAACTGCTCTCCATGCCCCCTTTTGTCAATGTTACTGATTCCTGGCAATGTATTCTTCCTCCCAAACTGCTTAGATGCTGTCACTTCACTAGATTATAAGCTCTCACTGAAGAAGAATCAGAATGTTTTCGCAAACAAATCCAAAGAGTTCAAAATACTTTTAATGAACTCAACTGTAGTGGTCAGTTTGGGGCAATTTTTTTTTAACACTTTATTTTATATTGAGACTAGACAATTAACAATGCTGTGATAGTCTCAAGTGGACAGCAGAGGCACTTGGCATTACTACTCAGCACTCAAACCTCACTTCCTCCCCGTCTCAGCTGAATGGCCTTGTGCAAGTGACTTAAACAACTCCCGTCTCCTCTTTTGTACAGCCTACTTTGAGCACTGTTACAAGCTTAAAGTGGCAAAATAAATTTCAAATAGCCTGCTGAATGCCTAGATATATCCTTCACTAAAACACCCTCTTTTCCTGTCATGTAAGAAATTATTTTTATTCTAGCCAATTTCACATACATTCAAATAATGAAAATTACTTGGGTTAAATTATTTAAGATGCATTAAAGCACTGTAAAAATGGGATAACACTACTGTTCTTCCTTCCGTTATAGAAAAATAAAACATAAAGTTGAAAAAAGTTACTGTTGGAAATGTGTGCAGACTATTATTATCAATAATACACCATCCGGATATACTACTTTTTAGAAGATTTGGACAAGGTAATAATCACTAGAGAATGAAGTAAAGAAAATGGAAGTGGCATATTATCCCTGGTAAATGCCAGTAATAAATTTTAAAACAGTAAAGTGTTTTAATATAGTAAACCATATATGTACTGCAATATTTTCTCAGTTGTATAAAGTATTACTAAAGAACACGATTTTTTTGTTTTGTTTGGTGTTGAAAGTACAATAAATGAGGGACTAATTCTTAAAATGAGGATGTATAGGAAGTTCTGGAAACTCATGTTTAAAAATTTTAGAAAGATGAAAAAGGGAAGGACAGTTCCAAAAAAAAATGTATATTGTTTTAAAGGGAACATTTTGAATAAGTGATTTTATTTCTTTCCAGCTCCTAAACTTAGCATCAGGTAAAGTTAAATATATTGCTCTGAAACTGTTTTCTGATTACCTATACTATAGAAAGACATGGAATACTTATAATATGCTAAATAAATATAAAAATAAACAGGAAGTCCACGCAGCTAACGCCATAGGTGAATGTAAACTGCACAGCTATCTGTACAGCTCTCTTCCACTACAGGACTATCATTATTAATATGCTCTTTTCCCCACTAAAGAAATAGAGATTTCTGAGAAAAAAAGACCCACCAGACAAAAGCGGAGGAGGGCTAGCTTAGTACAACGTGTACACTATGTGAGCGCACTACGGTTGGTCAGATTCCGTTTCTTTCCTCAGCCCTTCGGTCTGGCAGCATCATCTGAATCTTCAGTTTTTCTGAACATACCTTGACCTCTGTACTAACGCGTCTCATGAGGTTGCAGTGAGACTTGATGATCAACAGAGATGCGTAAGAGGTCCATCCCACGAAACCAAGGACGACGTTGAAAGCCAAGAAGAACCTGTCGTAAGTGTGATAGTAGGACAGGCCTCTCAGGGCGAGGTTAATCAGCTGCTGACACAGGGAGACCTGGGGAGAACCGGAACACAGCAGTCACGCAGAAAGAAGAAGAAAACCCAAGTATCAGAGGGAGGAAAAGTATTACAATTAACGTAACTGCAGACAGGGGATCAAAAAGAGATTCTGGCTGTTCAAGGATCTTCCTTCAAGGGATAAGAAAAAAATCCCAAATAAAATAAAATTTAAAATCTTTTTTATTTTTATTTTTTTTTTATTATTAGTTGGAGGCTAATCACTTTACAATATTGTAGTGGTTTTTGTCATACATTGACATGAATCAGCCATGGATATACATGTATTCCCCATCCCGATCCCCCCTCCCACCTCCCAAATTTAAAATCTTGATAAGAAAGGATATTTTAAGTGCAAACCATCGATGAGATGTGTAGTGACTTTAAATGATTCATTTTGTGAAAATTATCTTCAGAGGACAAATGAAAGAAATGGTTCTTTAACTCACAGACTTAAGAGGGTGAACTCATGGTTGCTGGGGGAGAGGGAAGGGATAATTAAGGAGTTTGGGATGGACACATACATACTGCTATATTTAAAATGGATCACCAACAAGGGCCTACGATACAGCACATGGAACTCTGCCCAATGTCCTGTGGCAGCCTGGATGGAGGGGAGTTGGGAAGAATGGATATGTGTGTGTGCACGGCTGAGTCCCTTCTCTGTTCACCTGAAACCATCACAACAGTGCTCACTGACTATACCCTAATACAAAATAAAAACATTAAAAAAACCTCTCTAACATATGTCCCTAATAGAAAGGCCCACATTACATTTTTTTACTTTCTTATTATTAGATTACCCAAATCAATTATAAAGTGAAAGTCGCTCAGCCGTGTCTGACTCTTTGCAACCCCATGGACTATACAGTCCATGGAATTCTCCAGGACAGCATACTGGAGTGGGTAGCCTTTCCCGTCACCAGGGGATCTTCCCAATCCAATCAGTTATAAAACATTATTAAAATAGCTTAATATTTTAGAGGAGAGTAGCTTGCCATTGTAAAACTATAATAAAAATAAGCATTAGAAATGCCATTGTACTACTTAGGCAATTTTAGAAATGAAAATAGAATTCTTTCTTACTTTAAACTTATATGACCATTTAACAAAGACGAAAATTCATGCAAAAGACAGTGGGGTAGGAATTGGGAAAAGTCAAAGCTTCAGAATGAACTATTAAATTTCTAATAGTGTGAAGCTAATTCTAAATGTACAAATATGTCACGTCCTAAAATATTATGCATAAGCAGGATGACAAAAGCTTGGAATATACGTTCCCATTACAGAAAAGAGCAATTGTTCAGTAACTATATTCACCTAAAAAAGTTTACCTATAACATTATCTGAAATTAGAGAAGTCTACCCATGTGGCCAAAGCAACTGCTTCGGAAATTCGGCCCTTCCGTGCAGGGTCAGGACAACTCCCCGGCTGGCTCACTCTGATCTCAGCAGACCCGCCCCTCTCGACACCTGGACCATCAGCTGTTTACATACACCAGGCCTGCATACTTACTGCTTCATCGTACTTTTTCTGTTTTATATAGTATCTTGCTTTTCTTAAAATGTTGGCTTGTTTAGTATCAGATAGTGACCTATAAAAGAAAAAAAAAAGGCTTAGGTTTAAAATGTTTTCTCATTTCAATTATATTTTTGCTTTTTTTTTTTTTGGCTTAATTGAAAATAAAAGAACAGAACAGTGAAAATTGAGAAAGAGGGAAAGAAACAAACTCAGGCCAAACTGTATCTTTGTTGGTTATCTGAACTCTCTCAAGAAATAGTTTACAATTAAATTTGGTTTTCTTGACTCAAAGTTGCAACTGCCAAACTCCACTTAAAACAGTCACACAATATGTCACTGGAAGAAATGGAATGCTGTGGCTAACAAAGAAAAGTATGATTAGATCAATATAATTAGTGAAACAGCAAATGAGTGATCTGCGTCAACACTCAGCCCTCTCACGCTCCTGGTAGACGCAGCAGACAGGGCGGACTCATTACCGTGCTTCGTGTCCCCGGGGGGGGCCCTGGTGGCTCAGCTGGTAGAGAATCTGCCTGCAATGCGGGAGACTCCAGTTCGATTCCTGGCTTGGGAAGATCTGCTGGAGAAGGGATAGGCTCCCCACTCCAGAATTCTTGGGCTTCCCTTGTGGCTCAGCTGGTAAAGAATCTGCCTGCAATGCGGGAGGCCTGGGTTCGGCTGTCCCTGAGCCAGAGAGGGCCTGACAGTTTTCATTATCAAAGAGAGCTGGGAAGAACTTAACCAGCAAGTAGTTAGTAAAAAATCTGAATTGATTTGCTATTTTGGTACTACACCATATACTTTTTTGGTTTCCCTATGTTTCATTTCTCTTTCTACCATTTCCCTACCCTCATTTTACCACAGTAAAAATCTTAAAGACAGGAATAATATGCCTAATACTGCATGAGTAATTTTTAAATAAGTACAGTTAAACACAAAGTTTAGCACAAACTGCTTAACTAGAATCTACATTCCTAAAGTGCATATCTTTACATTATAAAAGTGTAAAGATGTTATTGAAGAATATATTAGGTCAGATCATATGACACCTAGTAAAAAATCTGAATCGATTTGCTATTTTGGTACTACACCATATACTTATTTGGTTTCCCTATCTTTCATTTCTCTTTCTACCATTTTCCTACCATTGTTTTACCACAGTAAAAATGTTAAAGACACAGGAACAATATTCCTAATACTGCATAAGTAATTTTAGAATAAGTATAGTTAAACACAAAATTGAACACAAACTGCTTAACTAGAATCTACATTCCTAAAGTGCATATCTTTACATTACAGAAGTGTAAAAATGTTATTGATGAATGTATTAGGTCAGATCATATGACACTGATGTTTCTGTATGTCAAAAATGACTAAAAAAAACTTGACAATTTCATATAGCTCAACACATAATCACTTGTCTTTTTTCCACTTGGTTTCAGTAGCGTCTAAAGAGGTAAGATGGTGACTTGCAGGAAAGTCATCTTTAAGCATTGTTATTAATTTGGGTGGGTCACAGACATCTTTCAGGATCTGAAACTCACTCCAGAGTTTTCAAAATAAACATAATTCAAAATCTTATATAAGATTTTAGGAAAATTCAAGAACCACAGAAACTCATCTGTGAGCTCCCTCGAGTTCTGTAGAGACCCCTGAATAAGAAGAATCAGTGCCCACTTCGAGGGATCCCAGATCCTCCAACTCATGGGAACCCACACACTCTGTCAGGACTTCCCTGTAGCTCATATGGTAACGAATTTGCCTGCTATTCAGGAGATCTGGGTTCGATCCCTGGCTCAGGAAGATCCTCTGGAGAAGGGGATGGCAACCCACTCCAGTAATCTTGCCTGGAGAATCCCATGGACAGAGCAGTCTAGGGGGCTACAGTCCATGGGGTAGCAAAGAGTTGGACATGACTGAGTGACTAACACTACTGCTAAACACTTTGTCAGACTGGAGGAAGATAACCTGGACTCACTGGGATTTGAAGGAAAAAGGTACCAGGAAGCAGGAATTCATGAAGAAAAATAAGTTACTTCAAAATGTTGCCATGATCCAGTTCTCTGTCCTTCAGACACCACCCAGTTAGGAATATCTTCCTAGAAGTCTTAGAATGGAATTACTGGGCCAAAGGGCACAGGCATTCATTGAAGGCTACATCTAAGATGAAATTCCAAAGTTCTATAAAAACCTAAGGTGATCTCCCTTCTTGCTCTAATCCATTCCATATCTGAAAATCTAATGTACTTGAAATTGAGATGGGCATCTTATTGTCCAGTTCATCAGTTCTAAACTTCCTGGACTATTGATGACCATCTCCTTCTATCCTATTTAATTTCCCATTACCCCAAATATAAACTCTCAGCTTTATAAAATGGTTAAGCTTTTCAACCGTCACCTATCTCACATTCACGTCTGAGTTATTATTCATAAAGATCCACTTGTCTCTGCTTTCCAAAATCAAATCTGCATCATCCTTTATGATCCGCTCCGAATCTCACCTCACACCATTAGCACTTTAGTGTGGTCTAACCGAGAGGAGCTACCACACACCCGAGGTCAGGGGCCACGCCCAAGAGGAGCTACCCCACGCCCGAGGTCAGGGGCAGCGGCCGAGAGGAGCAACCACACCTCCAAGGAGCAGCTGCTGTGCGGGCACAGGAAGGCCGAGAGGAGCTACTCCAAGTTCAAGGTCAGGAGGGGCGGCCCTGAGAAGATACCCCTCATCCAAGGTAAGGAGCAGCGGCTGTGCTTTGCTGGAGCAGCCGTGATTCTGAGTTATTATTCATAAAGATCCTCTTGTCTCTGCTTTCCAAAATCAAATCTGCATCATCCTTTATGACCCACTCCAAATCTCATCTCACACCATTAGCATGTTAGTGTGGTCTAATCATCAATTCATTTCTCTCCAACTAAATTTTAACCTCCAGGCAGGCCATTAATTATTTTCATTAATATCAATAATGCTTAGGAAAGTGCAAAGCACATCGATCAATAAATCTTAATTGATTAAAGTGCTACCAAAGTATTTCAGAGCTAGAAAAGGAAGAAAAGCAGAACAGCATACACTGCTATTCTGAAAGCGCCTGCTGCTGCTGCCACTGCTAAGTGTGCTAAAAAGAGGGAGAGAACGCTTGTCCAGAAATTAATTCCTGTACATCAAAATGTTCATTAAAATGTTCTAAACAAACGCACTGGAGCATTATGACATTAAAGACTCTTATTCCCCATGTAATCTATTTCTAGTTTTCTGTAAGTAGAGAATGGTACAAAATAAGTCTTAGTATCACATATTTTAAATATAAAGAAAGTTTATGAAAAATG